GGGGGGGGGGGGGGGGGGGCAGGTCGATTGGCATTTTCTTGAAACGGCACAGCCGGAGGCGTTTCCGTTTAGACACGGGGGTGCTGTTGAAAGGGAAAAAGAAAGAAAGTACGATGATGGTAATTTCGCGATAACGAGACTACGCGCGATTATGTAATCGCGCGATCACGCGACCTCGGAAAAACGTGGCGGACGACAATCCGCGTTTTTTGGGGATAAGATCTGGACCAGCCTTGGCGAGCGCGCCTAGGATATCTTGCATTTACAGAAAGAAAAAAATCTAAGAAATAAAAAATATTCATTCCACGTGAGTGCCGCCAACAGTCACTTGTGCCGAGATACGTAGGGGAGACACCGGGGTAAATTGGGAAAATCAATTATTTCTGTTATTTTCTAACAAATTATTAAAGCAAAGAATTAAGCAAGCAAGATTTTAGACACGCCAAAGATAGCTTTGAAATTTCTGTTTGTTTGATTCTGAAAGAACAATTAAAAAACAGTAGAAATAACTAATTTTGTCAACTTATCTTGGTAGTCAACTACGTTAAGGGAAAATTGCTTTAAAATCAACAAATATTTCTTTGATGGATGCCATTAACATATTTACTTAAGTCTAAATTCTCTTTATTTAAGTCAAATATTGTTTATCCGATTTAAGTAAACAATATTTGGTTTAAATAAAGAGAATTTAGATTTAAATAAATATGTTAATGGCACCCATCAAAGAAATATTTGTTGATTTTAAGGTAATTTTTCCCTCAGTGTAGGCCTGGTTTCTCTTATTCTACTTTGAGAAAACATTTCTTTCGAGTGAGAAAATACACGGGATTATCTGACGATAATATAAAACTCTGCGTACATTAGGTCAATCTGAGCAAAAGAGTCCCCTACTATTTTTGCAAACAACCACGTAAAATTTTTAATTATCCATTAAAGAATAACTGGCGAATGATGCGGAATACGGTGGTAGGATACGGTAAATACGTTGTGCATTGCGTGCTGGTACGTCAGGTCATACTGAGCAGAAAAGCTCCTTGCCATTTTGCAGATGACCACGTGGACTTTCGAATTATTAATTAGAGAAAATTAGCCGCTAATCACGCGCGATTGTTCGGCAATCTTCTTTAACAAGTATAATCTACGTGGTTATCCGTCGAACGGTAGAGGACTTTATCGCTCAGTTTGAGCGATAAATTTACATGTGCACAAAAATTTTTCGCATTAAGGTTCAGATACTTTGTATATCTCCTCGAAACCTTTTGCTTTTCATGAAAGCAACGTGTGGTTTATCCTATTCAAGCCAAAGAACTTGCAGGAGTTAAGCAAATATGTTATTAGCGCCCGCCGAACAAATATTCCGTACTAGCTTAAACTACCCGGTTTATCACAATAGTCAACAGGATGAAATCAAGGGATGAAATCAGAAGAAAGATGTGGGATATCACGTAGCCTATATCTTTCGCAGAGACTCTGGAGGGATAACTAAGTAAAATTCGATCCAGATCGGTCAGAAGAATTAATAGGGAATTTATAGACTGACATTCTATTTTATATATTTAAATTTTTTATATATATATATATATATATATATATATATATATATATATACACATATATATATTTCTTTTCTTTTTCATGTATACACGGAATATTACTACACAGAAAGAATATTGTAGTAAAAATTACAATACAGTTTTAGTCCACGAGAATAGACTGCTACTATTACAAAAATTAAAATAAAACATAAATTAACTAAATACATAATAAAAAAATTAATATAAAATATTGTCAAAAGAACTATAAACATGAAGTAACTTTTACAACATTTATGGTAATTTTTATTATGTTCATGGTCATTTTTATCATGTCTTATTATAATTTTCATCATAATGCCAGTCTATTCCCAAAGTACTAAAATCGTAATATAATTTTTATTGCAATATTTTCCCCGTGTACATACATGTTTTTCTTTTCCCAATGCATTTATCTTTCAAAACGTCATGAACGTTAATGCCAAATGGCACTTGATCTTTCGGAGTGCTGGAAAAGACGGGGATCAATGGAAAAGCAGATTTCGAGAGCACGCCGTTCGCTCGCAGCCTACGGATCTCTAATTTAAAGGAGAAAGAACAGGGAGGGAGAAGGAGAGAGCGAGTGCCGCTCTCGGCGGGAGAAAATGTCGCGTTCCCGGGTTTTCGCGTTGGAAAAACACGTCCGCACGGTAGATACCTGAAATTCAGTTGCGCGTCAACCGGCAGCGCTCGGCTATCGATCGGTCTTGAATAATTTCGCGGCCGGTTCTTTACTTATGCGCTCCGTATTTCAGCCCCGCTGATTGCAACGCTGCTGCTGCCGCGTTTCAAGAATGGCCATTGATATTATCCGTTTCCTCATTAACGTCACGGCAAAAAAAAAAAGGAAAAACGAGTGCTCGCCGCGTCTTCGGCATTTCCCTCTCTCTCCTTCTCTCTTTCGCTCTCTCACCAAGACTCCTTCCCCCTCATCCGCGCTTTCTTCCGCCGAATGTCGACCGGATGACCGACACGTTCGTTCGTGCATAAGTGAATTGCGCGTTGATAAATAGCTCGGGACGTTTCATCGCGCGCTCTGGTGAGCGATTTCGTGCGATTATTGCATTAATCAACGAGCATCGTTCGAGTGGCACGGTGAATGAAATTTTTTCCCAATTGGTTCGCGTCGAATCGCGAACATGCCGGCCGCGCGCGCGGGACTCGTTAGATGAAAATATGGAAATTCGCGAGCGAATTCGGCCGATTCGAATTCGGCTTCGTGGCCCCGCGATAGTCGGCGCTGATGTAGCGCGATAGTCGTCCCTCAACTATGCGCGAAGCACTTCCCGTTATTACCGGCCGCTTCAAGGTAAAAACGCCCAAGGAATTTGCATTGTTCGTCGGGAGACGATGGAAAAGATACCTCTACAATGATCAACACACGAGCGCGACGCCGGCGACTTCCGTCGGCGGGTTATAAGCGATTTCCTTTTCATATATATTTTAAAGGACCTTCGCCCCCTTTGGGCGGAATCTACTATTCGCGACTGAATTCAGAGCTGAATTTCATTTGTAAGAAAACGCCCGACGATTCGGAATAACATTTCCAGCAGACACGTATCCGCGCACATTCATACACGTGCACACAGTCCAAGAGTTTTCTGCATTGCGATCCATAAAATCATAAATAGAATCCCGCCCGCCGAATTCTGTGGCGAATTATGGATCGTCACGAGAGAGCGAAGTCGCAGGAGACATCTTTAATTTTCATACCAGTGGCGGAGACAAAAGCGCATTCGGACGAGATGTTTCTGTTTTCTTCGGAAACAGTCCAAGTAAAATGTCTCTCTCTCTCTCTCTCTCTCTCTCTCTCTCTCTCTCTCTTCCTTTTTCTCCCTCTCCCTTGCTCGCGAGACGCCGAGGAACGAAATGACAAGTATCGTCATATGGTGCGCGCAATCCGCGAAATACGAAATCGATTGAGCCGGCGTGTATGACGCCGCGCGCGTCCGCGGCATGTCCGCAGCTATTACAACTATGATTACAATCAGGCAGATGCATCGCGGGACAATGAAACGTGATAACTCGTTTCCGATGGCGATAAATTATCGCATAAATAGCGGCCGCGCTCGCCTCGCGTTTGCGCGCGCGCGCTTCGGCGAAATTGCCTTTCGCAGAAATCAACTTTTCTGCTTTGTCGCAAAAGCGATTGCCTTTAGATCGAATAGAATTTTTTTGCCGTACCCACGCGAATATTACTCTTAATGATCAATTTTTTCGGCCGCGCGCGTAAGGACGCGTGCGTGAGCGCGCGTTTATCGTTCATATCAAATTTGATAAATCCAGACGAGTCCGACCGATTGGTCGGATTATTGGAACGATATTTCATAGAACGATAATTCGGAGCGCATCGTGTGTGCTCGCGCGACATTCTATTTCCAGCACAGTCGATGGTGGGGAAAAAAGGGCAGGAAACAAGAAAAAATCAATTAGTCTAATCGAGATCGAACAGTTAATCGGGAAAACAGCGGCATAGTGCGCTCTCTCTCTCTCTCTCTCTCTCTCTCTCTCTCTCTCTCTCTCTCT